CCTTCTTGGCAACAAGAGCACACTGTTGACTCTTATCCAGCTTCTTGTCCACTGTGACCCCTAGGTCCTTTTCTGCAGAACTGCTACCTCGCCATTCAGTCCCTAGTCTTTAGCAGTGCATGGGATTCTTCTGTCCTAAGTGCAGGACTCTGCACTTGTTCTTGTTGAACCTCATCAGGTTTTTTTTGGCCCAATCCTCTAATTTGTCTAGGTCCCTCTGTATCCGATCCCTACCCTCTAGTGTATCTACCACACCTCCTAGTTTAGTGTCATCTGCAAACTTGCTGAGAGTGCAGTCCACACCATCTTCCAGATCATTAATAAAAATATTAAACAAAACCGGCCCCAAGACCGACCCTTGGGGCACTCCGCTTGAAACCGGCTGCCAACTAGACATGGAGCCATTGATCACTACCCGTTGAGCCCGACGATCTAGCCAGCTTTCTATCCACCTTACAATCCATTCATCCAGCCCATACTTCTTTAACTTGGTGGCAAGAATACTGTGGGAGACCATATCAAAAGCTTTGCTAAAGTCAAGGAATAACACATCCACTGCTTTCCCCTCATCCACAGAGCCAGTTATCTCATCATAGAATGCAATTAGGTTAGTCAGTCACGACTTCCCCTTGGTGAATCCATGCTGACTGTTCCTGATCACTTTCCTCTCCTCTAATGTTTCATAATTGATTCCTTGAGGACCTGCTCCATGATTTTTCCAGGGACTGAGGTGAAGCTGACTGGCCTGTAGTTCCCTGGATTCTCCTTCTTCCCTTTTTTAAAGATGGGCACTACATTAGCTTTTTTCCAGTCATCTGGGACCCCCCCCGATCGTCATGAGTTTTCAAAAATAATGGCCAATGGCTCTGCAATCTCATCCGCCAACTCCTTTAACACCCTTGGATGCAGCGCATCCGGCCCCATGGACTTGCGCACGTCCAGTTTTTCTAAATAGTCCCAAACCACTTCTTTCTCCACAGAGGGCTGGTCACCTTCTCCCCATATTGTGCTACCCAGTGCAGCAGTCTGGGAGCTGACCTTGTTCGTGAAGACAGAGGCAAAAAAATCATTGAGTACATTAGCTTTTTCCACATCCTCGGTCACTAGGTTACCTCCCTCATTCAGTAAGGGGCCCACATTTTCCTTGACTTTCTTTTTGTTGCTAACATACCTGAAGAAACCCTTCTTGTTACTCTTAACATCTCTTGCTAGCTGCAACTCCAAGTGTGATTTGGCCTTCCTGATTTCACTCCTGCATGCCTGAGCAATATTTTTATACTCCTCCCTGGTCATTTGTCCAATCTTCCACTTCTTGTAAGCTTCTTTTTTGTGTTTAAGATCAGCACGGATTTCACTGTTTAGCCAAGCTGGTCGCCTGCCATATTTACTATTCTTTCTACACATCGGGATGGTTTGTTCCTGCAACCGCAATAAGGATTCTTTAAAATACAGCCAGCTCTCCTGGACTTCTGGGTTCTATTCCAGGCTCTGGAGGAGTGTGTTCTAGTGGTTAGAGACAGCACAGCCAAGCACTTTGAAAGGCAGTGTGGTTAAGTGGGTGAGACTTGTTCCTGCTATATTAGACACCTGGGTTTTATTCTCTAATGTGCCAGAAGTGACCTTGTGTAACCTCTCACATACTTTATCTGTAAAATGGGGAGGGGGAAAAATGATACTTTCCTTCCTGCTAAAATAGGGGTGTGAAGCCATGACCCATAAATAAGTAGTTTGAAGTGCACAGAATACTAGTCTGTAGTAGCTCTGCTCCTGTCTCTGAGCCCAGCACACCTTCTCACACAAAGGAAGCAGGAAGCCCTGCTGCTTCAGCAGCAATGACTCGTTTGGAGCTCTAGTGCCTTAAATGTAGGAAGCTGAGTGGGACTGGGAGCAAGTAGGAGCTCTGAGGAGCTGGAATAGACTCACTGTAGCTAGCACGCAGGGAGTTGGGGGGCCAGAGCAGATGGAATGTCTAGAGATTTTAGCAGCATGTGCGAATGGCAATTTTCAGAGGTTTATAATTCACCATAATTGGGACAGATTTTCATAGGGACAGCAAAAGGCACCTTACTGGTCCCATGATTATTGCCAGTCTAAATTTTAGGTCCCTATGCCAAACCAACGAAGCATGAGAACTCTTCAGAGAAATGGTTGGGGAAAAATTATCATGGGCAAAACTACCAATTTCCCCCAACCTCTTTCTCAGAAACAGCCATTTTTGCTGAAATTTAAAAAATCTGCTTGAGGTAGAGAAAGCCAAGAAATTCGAGATGGAATGGTTTAAGTTTGGCAAAATTATAACTGAAAATAGGGAATGGGAGATGGAAAAGTGTTAGGTAACTTCTTAAATAGGCATAACTACTAGCAGCACCTACACTATCACAATGTATACACGGACATACCAATGTGTAACAGGAGTAGATAAAGTACATATCTACTGAATCTCTATCTGTTAGAGAAAGAGCCTTAAAATGCAGATCTTGGCAACAGACAGAAAAACATAGTCCTGTAGAATACAAAGTTGTGCATGGCCAGAGGAAGGCCACTTGGAATGGTCTGATGACATCTCTGCCATCTGACGAAGTGGGTATTCACCCACAAAAGCTTATGCTCCAATACATCTGTTAGTCTATGACAGGGGTAGGCAACCTATGGCACTCGTGCCGAAGGCGGCACGCGAGCTGATTTTCAGTGGCACTCACACTGCCCGGGTCCTGGCCTCCAGTCTGGGGGGCTCTGCATTTTAATTTAATTTTAAATGAAGCTTCTTAAACATTTTAGAAACCTTATTTACTTTACATACAACAATAGTTTAGTTATATATTATAGACTTATAGAAAGAGACCTTCTAAAAATATTAAAATGTATGACTGGCACGTGAAACCTTAAATTAGAGTGAATAAATGAAGACTCGGCACACCACTTCTGAAAGGTTGCCGACCCCTGGTCTAGAAGGTGCCACAGGACTCTTTGTCGCTTTTTACAGATCCAGACTAACACGGCTACCCCTCTGATACTCTGCCATCTGTGTATTATAACCGCCCCTGATATTTTGTGTGTCACACGAGAGCATTTTCTAATATGTGTTGGCTTTTTTATGAATAGCCACTAATCACACCAGCTATACAGGAAATATATATTCATGTTCATCTCATTCCCTCTTTCCATTTTGATTAAGTGTTATTTGAAGCACAGCTGCACACCTAACATTTAGAGCTATAGATTTTAACAGTGTCATGTCTAATGTGAGCTCAGTAGCAGCCAAGAAGCTGTTGAAAGGTCTGACTTAGTTATGTGGAAACTTTATGCTTCCTATCTTTCATTGATGAGTCATACAACGTTATATTATATTATCAACTCAGTCTATGAACAGGAAAGCCATGACACACGTCAACATCGAGAGAAATGACGGTGTACGTGTGATATATTGTCAACACATACGCAGCCAGTCAGGAGGGGAAAAAAAAAAGGTGGCACAAGACAGAGAGGCTACTTTTAGAAATGAACTATTTCAGTCTCCAGTTCAGAGATTTTGACTAGGCTTAGGCGCAATGCTGCAAGTGAATCCAAGTGCCCACGCGCAGCCCCACTGGGAACAGGGTAAACTTGTGCTCAGCTAGCTCCAGGACAAGTGCCCTTGTTTTTCTGCAAAACATTCAGAATTACCTTTTTAGTAATGCTTAGTCCTGTGAATGGAGAGGGATGGATTTATATATTATTCCTTCTCTGAATACTGTGATAGAGATGTATATTGAAAATATCAATACCAATAACTACAAGTTAGAGAGACACAAAGAAATGTACCACAGAGCTGTAACTTGATTAACTGGCACAGTTTTTGCCATCTGCTTGAAAGTAATGGGTACAAGTCTCCAGTAAAAGACTTGATCACAGGTGGGAAACACGAAAATTACTTGCTGCACATCAAGTTGTAGTTCACAAGCACAACCAAAGCAAGAGGCTACTTGGGATCCTAAAACCTATGCCAGCGCTGCAGCTAACAGGCCAGCCCAACACTCCACTCTGGCAGTATAATCAGAGGGAATAGAAACAAGCACCTGTAGATCCCCTCTGTCTTTCCAGCAACAGGATGAGAAGGGGACAACTCTTGGTCTGATATTCCGCCTTTCTAGCAACATATGGCTCTACTCTGGTTGGGGCCTCATGAACTGTAAGACAATCTCCAGTCTCTTTGAAGGTAGTTATTACAGGAGATCGCTGTGCTCCCTGCATATAAATGGATTTGCAACATACTGACCTCAAAATTCTGGATCAACAAACCACCTCACCAATGAGTATTACGCTGAGTACAAAAGTCAGCAAATGCTACAATTATCCTTTCATTTTCATAGCAATACAGATAAAAACACATTATTCTTCCATCTGAACTCCGTGGAGCAGATGGCTGAACATGGATCTTTTGTAATTACTGCCTCTGATAAGTAGATTATTTTCTAAAAATATTAACTAAACAAGGAAAAACTTGTTACAAGTGGAAATAAAGGCACAGCAATAACAATTCAGTGCAACCTGCACAGGAAACTGTAACATCCATTTATTTATTTTGGCCAAAGCAAATATTTACTGTAAAAACTAAATACTGCAATACCCCTAAATAATTATAAGATGATGGGATGTATGAGCTGTGGATAGGGCAAACTTGGGTGTATACCATAATACAGAATCCCAGCCACAATGATTTGAAAAAACTATGCAAAGAATTTTATGAGACTCCTCTCAAAATTTCCTAGACCTATGTCTCTCCACTACACTCACACCGAATAGCCTGCAAAGAGGACATGACACTCCAAGATTTCCCATCACCGATTTCTAGCAAATTATTCTGTGAGGGACAAAACCTATTTTGACCCCCAAAAGCATGACTAGAGGTTATGGACCCCGTAACCTGCAGATCTCCTGAAATCAGCTGGAAGTCAGTGCTAGCCAGTGTCTCTACATTGCCTCCTGCCCCTCCCAGCCTTGTGGCTTTCCCCTCATCTCAGTGAGCCTATCTCCATAGCAATGCCGGCTAAATTACTACCAGCTGCCCCAGTAGTCCCCTTTGACAGTTTTTGCACGGTGGGATCCACAGTACAAACTGGAAGGTGGTGGAAGGGACATATCCAAAAGTTAATTCAGATTAAGTCTACATTCACTTTATAGACAGTTGCATGCTGGTTTCCAGAGGACAAAAGTGTCACAAATATAGTGTGCATGTCTACCTCCCTCCCACAGCCTACCCACCTCCCTGCACAGACTCCCCTCATCCCCATCCTATGCACGGTTAGAGATGGGAATGGACTACAATGCTGCAGAAGCTGCAGACCCCTCTTTTACATCCCCAAGAGGGCAGTCTTCTGGATTTGCCTCTCGTTTGTCATAGATGTTTTTCCCCTAAATAAGAACAGATCAGAGACAACCGACCATGCTCCATTGATAACCTCCCAAGTTTCAACCATGTGCAAAATAATAAAAGATGCATTCAGATAGTTACAGAGACACAGTTCTCTGGAGACAGTTTGATTTAATGTAAGATGGTGTCAAATTAAGGGAACATCTGATTGGACAAATGTACTTCAGTACAGGTAAAACACGAGGGACAATTTCACATCAACAGTGTCACGTATCGGGGGTAGCCATGTTAGTCTGTATCCACAAAAACAACAAGGAGTCTGGTGGCACCTTAAAGACTAACAGATTTATTTGGGCATGTATTTGATGCCCAAATAAATCTGTTAATCTTTAAGGTGCCATCGGACTCCTTGTTGTTTTTATATCAACAGTGGTTGGCATTAAACAAATAAGAACTTACCCACAATTACCATAATGAAATCTCAGCTAACATAGGATGTCCTTACTTTTAAAATATACAGAAATGCTATGGTATTTCACATGACATAGTATGGTGGCCATTCTGACTGGGTACATGTCCCCTCCGGACGGGATGCAGAGAAAGTTTCTTGACACCTTAAATGACAGCTTCTTGGAGTAGCTAGTCCTGGAACCCACAAAGGGAGAGGCAATATGGTAAATATGGTAAATGTGGAGTTACTAAGTGGAACCACAGTATTTCATGGAGACAGGGACTCTTTGGATTGAGCAAAACAGACCAGTGATCTGAAAGGGTAAACTTCTGATCACATGTAGGGGAACACTTAAAACTTCCTACTCTGGGGACAAAAGGAAGGAAAGAAAACACATACCAGGGCAAAAAAGACCTGAAAAGAAACAGCTACAAAAATGAGAGACACTGGCTACTTAATGCACCTCACACATTCAACTAAGACTTCACAGCTTAACTGGATACTGCAGAACGGTAGTTCCTCACTTAGAAGTTGTATCAAGCATTAAGGCCTGTCCTAATGGTGTCAGCTGCAGGTACATAAAATACTATGCTTTGGTGAAGCTGTATAACAGCTCAAGACTTTGAGGTAAGAACATTACATCATCCACAGGGTATATTCTGATGGGATATTTACATGAGACCACAGCCATATACTGGGAATATGAACACAAGAATGGGTCCCCATTATAGGGCATAATCCTGCTGTCACTGAAGTCAATAGTAAAACTCCCACTGACTTCAATGGGAGCAAGAGGAACTCCACAATATATAAAGTACCTTTGGATTATGCTATTTTCTAATTTCTTTTTATGTTAGAAAGATGAGGCCCATGAAGTATGGATCCCAGCAACTGCCTCCCTTTGTACATCTAAATACAGTAGCTATAATGCTACTATTTTACAGTGTCATTGAAATCCATAGTAAATCAACGACTTGCTTAAAACAGATTTACATCATAACATCAGCCAGTAAATACAGAAGATCTATTATAGTCATTTTCAGCTTCCTTTCAAAGACTTTGTTGGCCGATGAACAGTCTAATACTATATATGTTTATGAAGGAAAAGAACAGATTTTTGCTATTACATTGAAAAGAAATTTAAGATTAGGAATGTGTTTTAAACATCCTAATGATTTAAATAAAAGTAATGGAAATTAATACCACTTGCTTCCTTGCAGGATTTTGCAAACAGCTGAAATCTCACTGGATGAGTGGGCAAAGAAGCTGGAAAAATTATACAGAAAATGCAATATTTGGTTATTATTTGTAGAATAAACATTGGGGAGGGGGGAACGATAGCTCAGTGGTTTGAGCATTGGCCTGCTAAACCCAGGATTGTGAGTTCAATCCTTGAGGGGGCCACTTAGGGATCTGGGGCAAAATCAGTACTTGGTCCTGCTAGTGAAGGCTTGGGACTGGACTTGATGACCTTTCCATGAGAGAAGCTTACAAGTATCTTTTAATATAATAAAGGACTGGAAAAAAATCATGTCTTCAATACACTGTATGCAGGGTCAATCCTGCAAAGGGCTCAGAACTCTCAGCTCCCATTAAAGTCAACATGAGTTGAAGATGACCCACACATCACAGGTTTGAACCCACCATGAGCCATAGGAGGTTTTAAAGTTCAAACAGAATAGGCTTTCATATGTGAAATATCTGAAGCAATATAGATTTTTTCTTTCAATCAACAATTGTTCTTAATCAATCACACTTCTCAGAATGCAAAGTATTTTATATTCTAATTCAGCAAGGTACTCAAACATGTGCTCCACTATGAGCATTGATTACAGTGGGGCTACTTACGTGCTTAAAGTTAGGCAGGGGATTAAGTACTTTTCTGAACCATGACCTCCAGCAGCAATAGCCAATTCCTGCTTTTAAAATGACTAGTACTTTAACCTTTAAATCTTCCACTTACTCTGGTTAGAATGCTTGTAGGCTTCATCAATAATTTTATCAATAATTAATCATCTTTCGAAGGGCATCATAGCATTTCCATTTGTCTGGGATGTAGAAAGGTTCGAAGATATGAGGGAAAGGAGTGTCGTAGCCGCATACTCGTGAAATAGGAGCCTCGAGATTCAAGAAGCACTCTTCCTGTTAACAGAAACAAGGAAGAAAGTTAGTAAGGCTTTTACTTTCAGAAGACATGTTTCACAAATTAAGTTCTGGTGAGCTATGCCAGACTGACCCCCCTGAAAATCTAAACATTCTATTTATACCACAGCATAGGTACAGCCCAGACAACAGAAGTAAAGCTTCCCTTTCTTCTTAGCAGTTTATATTTAAAGAACAATTGGTATTAATGTTAAAGCACATCTATAAAATGAATGTATGTTAAACTGAATGCAGATTATATTTAGGACATCTATTATACATCCAAACAGAGACACTGCCAAGAAGCAACATATTTCAGGAACAAAGAAATAAGAGTTTATACTTCCTAAGCCACATTTAAACATATAAGGAAAATCAAATAATCTACAAGCCAGTATTATTTGTTATATATGTGAATGTTATATACAACTTCTAGTGTATTAGAGACTTATCCCAAGAAGTGCAGAGCAGCTGCATCTGGCACTGAAATCCATGGACTTGCATGTGCTCAGCACATTCTGAGAGTCAAACACAGAGTCTGTAAATAAAAGTTATCTTTGTCCTAAGGGTATGTCTACACAGCAACTAGACACCCATGATTGACCCGTGCCAACCAACTCAGGCATGCGGGCTCAGGCTACAAGGCTGTTTCATTGCGGTGTAGATTTCCGGGCTTGGTCTGTGTAGATTTCCAGGCTCTAGGACGCTGAGAGGTGGGAGGGTTGACTAGTTTCTGTGTAGACAGACCCTGAGAGGCCCAGACTTGACAAAGTCTGCTTATTCAGGCCACCAGGCATGCAGAGTATCACAAATATACCCCACTAATCTGAAGGTGGACGTGGAGCTTGTGTGAAATTTTAGCATCCTTAGCAGCCAACTCAAGAATGGCACTGAAGTATTCCTGCTTTCCCAAACAGCTTGGTGAGTGCAGGGATTGTGGCAATCTGGGATAGGTGAATCCAGTAGTAAGTTTTCCAGATAGTACTAATATGAATACCAATTATCATCTCACAAATTTTCTCTCATCCCCAGAATATCCTCTGCAGACTCATCCTCCTGGCCAGGAAGAGGAAGGGGCAAGAGCAGAACCACAGACCTGCTCATGTAACCCTGGATCCAGTGGAGAGCAGGGTCAAGATAAGAGATAAAAGATCTTGACCCTTCCTCCTAACATGTACTAAGATCCCCTGGTTGGACTTCTCCTGTCCTGGGCCCAGCAAGTGTGGAGAAGTCTCTTTCCTCGTAGCCCTCTTCCACTGGACCCATATAATCAGTTCCTGTCAAACACTCATGTTTCTCAATAGTGGGATGCTAGATATTTTCTCAGATTGCTGGATTGTCTTGAACACAAGGATATGCTGCAACCCAAGAGTGAGCTATCTGCCTAGGTTTGTATAAGGTCACCCCTCACCATGCATGATGGCATGGATAGGAGATACCTGTAACACAAGTGAATTGCAGAAATGTCCCGTTTCTCCATATTACTCACATGCAATTGTATGGTAGCATCTTCTTTCAAAGCGGTTGGAAATAGAAAATGCAGGAGGAAAAGGATTTCTCTACCCTTTCTGAACTCCCCCATTACTCCCCCCTAGTGGTCAACTGGTTAGCTGTGTTGCCAATCTAGTTGTTTTCCAAATAGATATAATTGTTTTAAAAAATTTCTAGTTGGAAAAAAATTGCATTTAGTTGTTGGTCGGATGTTTGAATTGAAAATTGAAACATTAATACACACTTTAAAAGCATATGTATGATAAAACACTTTTACCTGAAAAAGCATAATAGGTTTCAAAAGTATGAACAAAGACTAGCTTCCTTACACAACTGAGTTTGTTGCGGCAATGTTGGCATATTCATTTTGGTGATGTTGGCCAGCCTCATAATTTCAAATTATGATTGATAAACAACAACAAATCATCATAAAATCAAATGCTGATGTTTATTGGTGTTTTATTATGTTTAAAATGTGGGGCCAAGAATTAGCGCCAAATCGCCTTGCTGATGAAACTGTATGAAACTTGCTTACAGCAACCAGGCAGCCACAATAAATGTAACCCCCCTTTTTTTATTGAAATTTCATGAAAGTTTATGCCCACAGAGAAGGAAGTAATACAATTTATCATTCTTGGAACAACTAGATTAGTATGTTTTAGTGATTTTGCTTCAGAATGCCAGATTTGTGACTGGGAAATTTATATAAATATAAATTTTCTAGTAGGCTAAGACTTTTAAAATGCATAATATTTGCAAAGGTCATTATCTCACATCATTACTATCTTGAGGGGTCGTTATCTCGGGGAGTTTCTGAACTAAACCTTTTAATTATTATGATTTTTTCAAAAGTCAATTTAAATACATTTTTTAAAAAATAATATTTTTTGTTTTAGAAATCTAATACTTATGTTTTTCAGTTTTTACTATGGTGCCATCTTCACCCTCATGGTCTCACTCCTTGGCCCTCATCTTCCTGTAAATTCGAATACCCCCTCTAACTTCAATTCCGGGGAAAACACTGGCAGTAGGTCATTCAATCCAACCCAGTATCATAGCATTTCCTAGTGAAAAGGTCAACCTATGAACTGTTCATGTGTGGATATATGTTTCCTTGGCAAATATCAAACAAACACTATGCTTTTTCTGGGATCTGCTTTCAGGCTGGCTTTCTTGTTGACCCTTCTGTTGGTACAGAGCTTTGGGATAGCAGTAGGGAAAAAGAAAATCACTATTTAAAGCTTGCAAAGTTTAGAGTCTTAAATAGCAATATTGAGAGTGGTAAGTTAACTTCAGATTGGGACATACCCCTCCGCTGAATCAGGAAATCACATTGATTGCCATATTTAATATGTGTTTGTCTTAACTGTCAACTAGAAGCACGAACATATGACTATCAGTATCCTGCTACGTGATTCATTTAAGTAACACCACTTCTTGCTACTTGGTATTATTTTCATTATAATGTGAGTTTAAGCATTTTAAGGTTGGATTTTCTTTATAAAGGCGAGATTAATGTTCTGAAAAGTGCTAGATGGAAAGTAACAGAGACCAAAAATTCTTTATTTTAACCTACAGACCAGCTACATCAAGCTTCCAAATCTGCCTCACCCCTGACTGGTGGAAAATCTTTATGGGGGAGACGATAGTGTACTCTCCATATGCAGTCAGTCCTTGGCCCCTGTACTGTGACTGCTGATAAGTGACTGCTTATTTTGGACATAGTAATGCCTGTTCAAAAATGGTCTGTACAGGGGTGGGGTGGAGATGCAGCACAGCAGCAGAAGCTCCCAGATGCACAGGGTGAGTAGACCATCTGCACTCCACAGCCATCTAGCTCTATATGACATGACCCTACCTCCCCTTTTGGAATACCTAGCTGCCACAGGACCACGGACTGGGGGAGTCTACGCTCTCATGGCAGTGCAAGCCTGAAACTGTGGCCAGTCCCACCCCAGAAGTTTAGGGCTGAGTTTCATTGGAGCCTACTCCACACCTTGTGCATCTGTACAGAGGCCATTTAAGCTCTGGGCCTCAGTTTCAATTTTACTGGGGGCTGGTGCAATGTTGCAAACACTTTCCCACCAGGAGCTGGACTAACGCCACCATCTCATCTCACTTAGGCCATTCACCCGACAGCCATCAAAGAACAATGAATTTTAGTCACTACCAGGTGGAGTTCCCATACTTCGCTGAACAGGCTCCAGAAACACTATATTCAGAGGCACCACCTGGGATCTCAAGCAGGGAGGGTGAAGTATAAAAAAAATTTACTGAGTGTTACCCGAAATTTTCCCGAATAGTATTGTTTTTGCGAGCTAACTAAGACAGCGATTCTTCAGCCTATGAAGAAGTGACTAAACAATCAAGTAATAATTACTTTAAATGGGGTGGGGGGTCTTCTGTTCTGTGGGGTGGGGTTGTGACGAGAATTGGTGACTGGTATGGTGGCTGCAGGAGGAGCGAGAGGTAGAGTTTAGGGACTGTGGAGTGGGATTGAGAGATTTGGGGGGAGGAGGAGATTGGGGTAGACACTGTGGAGAAGGAATATTTATGGGCTAGAGTCCGGTGGGTCAAGCAGGGCGACCCTTACCAGATCTGAGCCTGAGCCATGAAGTAGAATTGCTGGGCAGGATTGGTGCTTTTCTGCACCATCCCCCAACTCCTTGCAGACAGGCTGGGCCCTTTGCACTAGGCAGATACCTGGGACTGAGTCAGCGTGTCCCACGCCATCTCAGGCATTACTAGGAGATGGGGTGGAGCTCAGCCTCCGGGGTGGTGGCTGCGCAGGCTGCATAGCAAAAAAGAGCCTGGCAGTGACAACGCCATTCCTCAGGCCACCACTGCCTGCTCCCCAGAACCAGCACCCCCGGAGCCAGCTACAAGTCCTTGGCATCCCGCTTCCCCCTCAGCACCAGCTCCGAGTCACTGGCATCCCACCTCCCCCACAGCACCACCAGTGCCAGCTCGTCAGTATCCTCCCTTCCCAAGAGCACCCCCAGAGCCAGTTCCTCAGTTCTCCACCTCCCCCATAGGCAGGTGTGGGGAGACCCGAAGAGGCAGCACTGCTCCTGGCTACTGTAGTAGCCCAAACTCCTCCACCGCTGCTGTTCTCTATGGGCAGAGGGAGAAGACCTGGTGGCTCAGCACTGCACTGCCTCTGAGGCTGCAGCAGCAGCAGCACTACCAGCCGGGGCACAACATTTTACCAAAAGTGTTGGGAGCGAGTGGGGGTTGCCTCTCCCTACCCCCCTCTTTTGTCACCCTGACTATATTTAGTATCATCTTATCCCCTTTCTAGGGTCTGTCTTCCTTGGTAATTCAAATAGCAGGAGCAGAAACATAACTCTAGGCTGTCTTCCTAAACACAGATATTTCTCAGGGTGTTCCTGAGGAGCTCTCTTTGTCCTAGAGCCCAAGAACCTCCATTCTTGAGCCATTCCTCCTGCATTATATCCCTGCCACAATGAGTCAGCCGGGGCCAGCACTTCCAGTTAGGCGTCCTAGGC